CCCCCCCGACGCCAGGCTCGAACCCAGGCGTCCGGGCCTCACCTTCCTCTTGCGGCACACCAGGCTGGCGGCGGTGATGAGCTGCATGGCGTAGCGCAGGGAGGTCTCCAGCCCGATGCGCGTCAGCACCGTGTAGGCGTCTTCGTTCATCTCCACGTCCTCCTCCTCGCACCTGGGGGCGGAGAGAGGGGGCAGGGCACTGCTGGGGGGAGCTCGCAGCACCGGAGGGCTCCTGGCTTGGGGGGGAGCTCGCAGCATTGGAAGATGTCCCTGACTATGCTCCGTGCCTCAGTTTCCCCACATGCTGCATGGTCATTGGGGGCAGGGAGCCGGCCGGGTGCGACCAGCTGCAGGACAAAGGGCCGGGAGGGGTCGGGGGGGGTGGTTGCTCCGTGTGGGGCAGCTGGGGGCACTGGCACTAAGGGGTCGGGGGGGGGGGCCCTCTGGCGGCCTTGGCTGTAATTTCTGTTCTCGGTGCTAACCCAGGACTCTCCGCGCTGCGCCCAGACCCCCAACTACCCCCGCCCCCCGGCCGAGTCACGCCCGAGCTCGGAGCTGGGGGGCCTGGCTCCCTCTGGGGCACTTGCTGTGGGGGGCTCCCGGCCTGACCCCTGCAGGCTGCAAGGGGGCGGGAAGCTGAGGGGCTCCCCCCAATGAGAGTTACTCCCAGGGGCTGCCGGCTGGGTGACAGCATCCGGCCTATGGGGCACTGATGGGGGGGGTGGGGGGGACAACACACACACTCGCAGCAGCCCCCCCTCACCGGATCTTGAGGATCTGCTTGGTCTCCTTGTCGCTGTAGGGCGCGGTGGAGATGATCAGCAGCCGGTCCAGCAGGTCGAGGGGGATCCCGTGGGGGCTCTGGTAGCTGGTGCCGCGGATCCTGGGGGGAGCGGGGCCTGAGCGACGGGGGAGGGGCTCCAGTCCCCCCCCCAGCTAGGGTGAGAGCCGCCTATCACCCCCCCACCCCGTCAGAGCCACCTGTCACCATGCACCCCCCACCCCTCACTGGGAAAGCCCCCTGTGATGAAGTGGGGTTTTATTCGTCTCGTAATGTTGCATGTGAGTCTTACTGCCCTACACGAACACTGTGTGTGCCTCAGTTTCCCTGTTGCATGTGAGTCTTACTGCCCTACACGAACACTGTGTGTGCCTCAGTTTCCCTGTGTGCTGCACCAATACCCAAAACCAGGGTCTGCCCCCCCCCGCCCCCCAAGAGGGACCAGACTGAGGGGTCCTGGTCTCTGTACCCACAAGCTCTCTGTTGGACTGTGTTCCTGTCGGCTAATAAACCTTCTGTGTTACTGGCTGGCTGAGAGTCACGTCTGACTGCGGAGTTGGGGGGCAGGGCCCTCTGACTCCCCCAGAACCCCCCCGGGCGGACTCGCTGCGGGACGCGCACGGGGGGACGGGGATGCTGAATGCTCCGGGCTCAGCCCCAGGAAAGTGAAGCCGTGTGAGCTCCTTGCCCGGGGACAGTCTGCTCCGAGAGAGGAGGACCCCCCCCCCCCCCGAGTCCTGCCTGGCTTCGTAGGGAGCAGTTCAGAGCGTCGCCCCGTGACTGCCTGGCCCTGGGCCTGCCCCCTCGCCAGCCCCCTGTGCTCACTCAGCCCCCCCAGACCAGATCCTGTGGGGAGCAGGGCCTCTCAGCCAACCCCCCTCCACCAGCCCCCCCTTCGGAACCATCTGTCAACCCAGGCCCCCCACTCCACCCCTCACTGGGAAAGCCCCACCTGTGCCCCCTCCCAGGCCAGGCCCCGCCCGGCGGCTGCCCACCTGGTGATGCCGCGGTTGGTGGCCATGATGAGCACGGGGGCCATGTCGCTCTCTAGCGCCCGGTTGAGGAAGGAGAAACACTCGATGTCCAGCATGTGAACCTCATCAATGAACAGCACCTGGGGGGGGAGAGGGGGCGGCGGCACAGCCATCACCCTCCTGCTGCCCCCTTCCCTTCCACATGGTCATCTCACCGCAATCCCCCTCCCTGTGATCACCCCGCCAGCCCCCCCACCATCCCCCTCCCTCCCCGGGGTCACCCTGCCGCCCCATGCTATCCCCCCAACCCCCTGTGCATACACTTAGTCCCCCAAATCACTCGGTCCCCAGAACCATGCTGCCCCCCAACACCCCACAGGCATCTTCCTACCTCAACTACACCCAGGCCCCAAACACCCCACCCCCCAAGATCACCTAGCCAGCGCCCCCCCCCGCACTCACCCCGAGATTGCTTGTCCAGCGCCCCCCCACGTGCTCACCCCCCCCGACGATCACCCAGCCAGCGCCCCCCCCACGCGCTCACCCCCGAGATCACACGTCCAGCGCCCCCCACGCGCTCACCCCCCCCGAGATCACCCAGCCAGTGCTCCCCCCACGCACTCACCCCCGAGATCACACATCCAGCGCCCCCCCACGCGCTCACCCCCGAGATCACTTGTCCAGCGCCCCCCCACACCCGCACTCACCCCCGGGATGACCTCGGCTTTTCCCTCCTCACGCCACTCGGCCACCTTGGCGTTGATCTGCTCCCGCACCTCGGCCTTGATCTCCCCAGTGTCGCCTGGTGGTGCAGACACGAGCTGGTGAGCCCCGGCAGGGACACGCCCCGACCCCGACGCCCCCAGGGGACCCAACCTCCCCGGGGGGGGGGTACCCTACCTCGCTGGGGGTGGAGAGAGGCTCTGATTCAGAGGGGTAGAGCTTGTGCCCCCCAGGGCCGTGGAAGAGGGCCAGGAGGCCCTGGGGCAGTGTTGATGGGGGCCATGGGGGGGGCTGCGGGGAGGTGGAGGGTGATGAGGGGGCTGAAGGGGGGAACCTGAGAAAAGGGCCAGGAAACCCTGAGTGCGGCTGTGGGGAGGCCGTGCGGGGGGGAGAGGGGGGCTGTGGGGTGACCACGGAGAGGTGCAGAGTGATGGGGGGTACCTGAGAAGAGGGCCAGAAAGCCCTGTGTGCGGCTGTTGATGGGGGGCTGTGGGGAGGTGTGATCAAGGGGGGAGTTTCTGGTTTTCCTTGTTTCCTATGGGTGATTTTCTTGGGTTTCCAATGGTTTGCACGCCGAGGGGGTGGGACTCAGTGTCCCTGGGTGTTGCTGGTTTAACGAGGGGAGGGGAGAGGGAGTTTGTGGGTACACAGGACCGGAGAGGGAACTTGGGACTCCAGCCAATGGCCTGGAGAATGGAGACCCCAGCGGCTGGTGACCGGGTGACCCGGAGACCCAGCTCAGGAGCCGGTTCTGGCCAGTGGGCGGACAATGGGCTGCGGAGAGAGGACCCCGGTGTCCGGACCAGCCGGTTCCAGCCAGAGGGGCCAGAGGACGGAAGAGGGGAGAGGAGGCCCAGGCGACCCTGTTTCCCTGGAGAGAAGACAATGGACAGAGGGGGGGCCGGGGGTATCAGATGCCCAGCTGGGAGCAGGGGGGCTCTGGGCTGGAGAGGGGGAGCAGGCAGAGCCCACCTGGATGCAGGGGAGACTGGGATGTGCTGGGCTGAGGGAGGCCAGGCCTGAGGCCAGAGTTTCCTGTGCTGGGTTCAACGCTCAATAAACCCTCCTGTGTGATGCTGGCTGAGAATCACTCCGGGCTAGAGATCAGGGTGGGGGGCGGAGGCATCGTCCCCTTAGGGGTGGAGGCCCCAGGGGTCCAGAGCGAGGGGCCTTTTTGAGGGGGCCCACGGCGAGAGACAGGCGTGCTAAGACTCAGAGAGGTGCGGCTCCAGGAGGTGGAGGGGCCCAATTCCAGGAGAGAGTGGACCCCCGAGAAGGGCTGTCACACTGAAAGGGGCACCCCCCCACGGACCGCATGGGGCCAAGAGTGGGTATGATCTGTGAGTCCGTGACAGGGGTGACGGGGGGAGGGGGAGCTGCAGGGGGGTACCTGAGAAGAGGGCCAGGAAGCCCTGCGTGCGGCTGTTGATGGGGGCTGTGGGGAGGTGACGGGGGGGGGGAGGCTGTGGGGTGACAGGGGGGTTGCAGGAGGGTGACACGAACTGGGACTGTTCTTAATGTGGCCTTTGAATGCTGAGTGGGGAGGTTGGCTGGGACGGTCTGCATGGGGGGATGGGAGACTGGCCTTGAGGGAAGATACCTGAGCATGTAACGTGAGAACCCAGGAGGGGGCTGGGACCAGGTGACACCTCTGCCCAGGAAACTGGACAAAGGCTGTGGGAGGGAGCCGGGGGAGGAGGGGTGAGAGACACTGGAGGGAGTTGAGGTTGGTCAGGAGCTGGCTGGTAATGGAGGGAGCCCAGGTGGGGCTCTGACCCCCCAATGGGGCTGCGGTGCCCCTTGGACCCCAAGATGGACCTAATTGGGGGGGGGGGTCCTGTTGTCTGTGCCTGCAAGACCTGTCTTGGACTGTGTTCCTGTCATCCAAATAAACCTTCTGCTTTACTGGCTGGCTGAGAGTCATGGTGAATCGCAGGAAGGGGGGTGCAGGGCCTTGTGTCCCCCCCACACTCCGTGACAGCCCCTACGCCCACAGCAGCCCCCTCTGCATGCCCGGTGCCTTGTCTCGCCCCAGAGCTCGCTCCTTGCCCCCCCCTCCCATCCGGGCTGCTCCTGGACTCAGCACCTGGGTACCTGCCACGCCGACAGGCCCTGGCTGGTGCATCACATCTGCTATAGGGGGGTCGGGGGGGGGTCTGCCCAGAGCTCAGAACTAGCTGGTTCCTGGTCACTGCGGGATCCTAGCACGGCCAACATCTGCAGAGCTCTGTGACCTGGTATGACGGAGCGGGGCGGGTTTGACCTGGGAATGGAGCCTGGGAGTTACATTGAGATACCTGAGCTGTAACCTGAGCCAGGAGGGGGGTGGGGAAGTGACACCTTCTGCCCGGGAGACTGAACAAAGGAGAGGAGGAGCAGAGGGGAGGGGGGAGAGCTGCTGGAGGGTTTTGGGAGTTTTCAGTTTTGGGCTGGGAGGTGCAACGCAGGGAACCCCAAGCTGGGGTCTAAGCTCCCTGCGCTCCCCAAGAGGACTTGATTGAGGGGTCCTGGTTGTATCTACGAGCTCTGCTGTAGACTGTGTTCCTGTTGTCCAATAAACCTTCCGCTTTACTGGCTGGCTGAGAGTCACGGTGAATCGCAGGAAGAGGGGTGCAGGACCCTGAGTCCCCCACACTCCGTGACACCTGGTGAATGCGGGCAGAGGTGAGACCTGTCACTTGCCTCACTGGGAACAACTGAGATCCCTGACCCAGCCCCACGCGGTGTTTAGGGCAGGGGAGATGCAGGTGAGCGCTGACCCAGCCCCCTCTGCGACCGCGGGGGAGCAATGCCCTATCCAGCCAGGCACTGCCAAGCTCGGGGGTCACACGGACACCGCAGGCAGGCCCCCCCTGGGCACACAAGGGGGTTTCTCACTTACCCCCAGGGTAGGGCCCCCCCAGAGGAGTGGAGGGAGAGGGGGGTTGCACTTGACTGTTTTCTCTCACCTGCCTCAGAAGAAAACAACCTGAAATTCACCAGAATGTGAGCAGCACCCAGGCCCACCCCTAAGAGAGCTCACCCCCCCTCCAGCAGCCCCCAGATCCCACCCCACCCCAGAGACCCCTATCTCCCCGGCAGCCCCCAGATCCCACCCCAGGGACCACTATCTCCCCGGCAACCCCCAGATCCCACCCCAGGGACCCCTATTTCCCCGGCAGCCCCCAAATCCCACCCCACCCCAGGGCCCCCATCTCTCCGGCAGCCCCCAGATCCCACCCCACCCCAGGGCCCCCCTATTTCCCCAGCAGCCTCCAGGGCCCCCTCCCAACTTCCCCTTGGCATCCCCCACATTGTGGTGTCTGGTCTCCTGCTGTATTTGGAGGTTTGTCCCAGCCACAGTTCTTCCCATCTGAGCACCTCTGCTGCCGTACGTGCCAGGCAAGGGACCAGGAGCCGGAGCGGCGTGAGGGGCCCTGGCTAGGGAGAAGGTCCCAGCTTCACTAAACTCCAGCTAAAGCAGGGGCCCAAGGCTGCTCTGGGACGGGGACCCATGGAGACTCCAGGCCCCGGCCTGCAAAGCCTCTGCCAGCTCTGAGCCGCCTGGCCCCGCTGCATGCTGGGATCTGCAGTCTCACCCTGCACGGCTAGCTGGGAGCTTCTGCAAAGGTTCGGTTCCCGGCTCAGCCTCGCCCCGTGCCAGCGAGCGGCTCCCTGCAGCGCTCCAGCTGCCAGGCCAGGCCGACAGGGAGTGGCTGGGAGCTCCAGGGCC